TCGGCGGCGACGCGTGAGGAGGTGAAGCGATCAAAGTTTTCGACGTTTCGGAATCGAGCTATCCGCCGTTCAAAATTGTAAATCGAGCTTTGTAAGTGCCTCAAAATCACTTAAAATAATTTTTAGGAATTTTTTCAGGAATTTTCCGACACCGTAGCACTGTTCACGCGCCACACGCGCCACCCCCGAGAGTGGGCATTGTCTGGGTGATAATTTTGTAATTAATTTATGTTTGGGTGCTATTTGTGTAAAATTTGGGTGTTAATTTAGTAAATATTTGCAGAATGTGACTAATTTGGCAATTAATTTCTGTTAGGGTGATATTTGTGTAAAATGGTCGACTGTTGACCGTTAACCAGCTTTGACCACAGTTGACCAAAACTTTTACCAGCTTTGACCGGGATTAAACGACCTTTGATTTTAACTGAGTATACCAATCCTGACATTTTTGACGTTCCAAATCCGATTCCGCAGTCCATTTTTTGAAATTCGGACCCAAAGACCTTGAAATCGCCAGTCAAACCTGTTGACTTTGATTTTGACCGAAAATTCCAAATTTTCGAAAAGTCATATTTTATGCTTTCGACGTGTTGAATCCGAATCTGAAGTTCGTTTCGCCAAATTCGAACCCGGTAAGCTATGTTTCACTAATTTATCACCCGATTCGATCCGTTTATCACAATTAAGCTCCGTTTTTTATATAATTTATGTTTATATGTATCTGAGGAATTATTAGAAGTTGAATTAAAGATCAAAGGCGTTCGAATGGAATTTTTATGGTCGATCAGTATTGCACAAAAATCGAGGTAATACTTTACTACCTCTTTATGCTTTGTGAAACATGTTTATATTGGTAAATGCATGAATAAGATAATGTTGGTCACTTTTGTGGAGTTGATTAATTTCTACACTCGATCTGAATATGGTAAAAAGGTTTCTTAACTGATTATGGTTTAGATTACTTTTATAAGAAACTAGGGAATTGCTAGAATTAAAATTACAAATTATGTGTTTAGTGATAAAGGAATCAATTTAGATATGTATCATATAATTTATTTCATCAAAGGTATTTGGATGGGAAATCATGAGAATATTCTTATAGGGTAAAATTACGAGAATACCCTTATGTTTTAGGATGACAAGAATTATCATTGGAAGTTGGTTAATAACTCTAAAAAGGTATATTGATCTGATAAATTTACAGATATGCATAAGAAATGCTAGTTTTGCTTGGAAAATTTGGTTAATCGGTTTTTAACCCCAAGAGGGTTTATGCACGATATAAAAGTCAGTTGAGGAATTATTTCAAGATTTGAGAATGTTTCGAAAAGAACTTAACCATAGGATCTCTAAATTATATTTATTTTTGTTAAGAGTAAATACTGAAATTATCTGGTTAAGAAATTACGAAAATGCCATTGTGAGGTAAAATAGTCCGAGTTGACCTTGAATGAGAAAATACTGTGAGGATTCGTACTTAACTCGATTAAGTACGGATTTGATTGTTAAGATCCTGACTTAGTGCAGAAAAATTCCTAATATTCCATTTGTAAAATTTGAGAAGACATTTGACCCGAAAATATCCTAGTTATGAGTAAATACCGAAAGAACAATTTATCGGAGGGTGCTCTTTTATCAGAATTGTTCGAATGGACTGAAATAGATGATAAATTGGAATTAAATAATAAAATCAGATGGAAGGAAAATATTGAAATACCGTAGATCTGTAAAATGACCAAAATACCCCTATAGTGGAAATGACTCAAGAATATTACCAAGCTCAGGAATGATTGGATATCCTCGAGCAATGAAATGAATAGAATAAAACTGAACACCAAAATTACCAAAATACCCTTATGGCCTATATTAAGTAAATGTATTGGATTAATTAAGGAATCCAAATAAGTATAGGTATTGGACTACCTTTAAAAGTTATGGAACACAACTTAAGTGAGCCGATCAACCTTAATGATATGTCAGTACCTGAACGACATAAATATTACTTGAATGCGTGTTTGTCTATTCAAGTTTGGCTCGATGATAATTTTTGGAAGTATTCAGCTCAGCTCAACTCTAGATTGCGTTAAGCACTAAGAATTGGATATTTGTTCGACAAATCAACCACGAAGACCGAACTGAACAGAAGTACTATATGTATCCGAAATTTAGAGACATCCAAATTAATCTGGAAAACTCTGAAGTAATTGGAATGGATTTGACTACTAAGTGAAATAAGTAACCTCAATGACTAAGATTTTAATAAGTGATTTGGATAAGTCTGGAAATGTTAATGAACATACACGATGTACTGTTCTTCTGGATCATGAACTACAAATTAAGCACGTCAGTATTTCATGATATAGTGGAGCGTAAATATGAAATAAATACATTGGAAGATCTATTCAGTGATGATTCCGAAGATGATCTATAGATAAGAATTTTTGGTATTAAAGTGTAAATACCCTAGAAGGACAACGAAATGATCAGTCGATAAGTATTAATTATGGGAACTATTCATCTAAGAGTTGTTCGATAATGCGATCAATCGACATAGACTGTAAATGTCCTGAATCTCTATTTCTTCCTTATCAGCCCAAGTCATATTCTGAATAACTGATGATTTCGTTAGTTATTGAACTCTTCCTATAATGATTCTAAATTTCGATATCCTATCGGTATACTGAAGATTCATGTTTCTCTACCTACTAAGATTATCCAGTACATCTGAATAATTTCTGTAAACTCTGGTGTGTTTCATAATCACCTGGATATTTTACCTGATTTCCGATTTGATTTCTATTATAATACCTGACTTGGATTCTGATCGGATACTTGACCTGGATTCTGATCGAATACTTGACTTGGATTTTGATCTGATACTTGACCTGGATTATGTTTTAATTTTTTGATATATCCATTTACGGACGAAACATGTTTTATTTGGGGGTAATGTTGGAGGAAGTATACCTGGAGGCTCCTCTGCTGTGTGCTCAGGGCCTTACTGGACTTGACGGTGGGTGTATGGTTCTGGGGAACCTACACATTTTGGACTTGACGGATGTGGGTATATATATATATGTGTTTTAAAAAGATCTGAAAAGTTACATGATTTTTTGGGAACACACTAGAAAACCTATTATGATCTCCTGAACCTAGACATCCGAAATATTTCCATCTGAAATGAATACTATCTGTTACTACCTGCGTTATCAATGGACCTCAGCTCAGCCTAAAAATCTGTAGATATCTGAACCAATAAGGAAATGTATATTTATCTGTATCTACACGTTCTTCAGCATCATCTGGTAGTTCTGTATTACTGATCTTTCCAAAGCTCACTTTATTACTCAACATTGCAGGTTAAAAGAATTGTACCAGTGCAACTATCTTTATCAGTATGAGAGTTCTTCCGGCGTTCCTTTCAGAGAATGGCACCTGTGATTAGGGGGCATGTAATTGTATTTTGTTTTATATACGAGTCTAAAAATTTGTTTTATTTTTGAATATTGATACATGATTTTATAAGTTTACATGTTATGATAAAAAGTTTTAAATTTTTCGCTATTTTTATTGTGGGTCGCTCCGGTGGCCCTAATGTGACAACCCAGATCGGATCAAGTTACCCGCATCGGTCTGGGGGGGGGTACAAAAATGCATAATGATGTATTATAAACATAAATGGAGGTTACAAACGAAAAGAAATAATCACGGCAACAATTTCAATATATTAAGTGTATGAATTTTCGTATAAGAAATATATGTGTACAAACATAAGAATTTCATAATAAGAAAAATGGATCTTTATATTGGTAATGGGTATAACAACCCCATAGATTATAGAATGGTTGAGGAATAACGGTATAAGCACTACATATGCATCTAAATAAATGAACAAAAATAAGAAGCTGGTAAATTACCATGTGAGCACTAATGGTGCGAATGCATAAGGTTTATAATAAATTAAAAGAGAGTTAATTGATATTAAAAGTAAGTATTAGAATAGAAACTATTCCAAATAAAACTGTAATGGCCTAGTTGTGCAATTGACAGAAAGGTGTCAATTATGTCAATTAGATGAAAGACTAAGTGTCTTTAAAGTCTAACTGTGCAATTGGCAGAAAAATGTCAATTATGCCAGTTAGAGGAAGGGTTAAACACTGTTGAGTAATAGAATAAAGGAATTTTAATGTATTATGATATGAATGGTGCATAACTGATATGAAGGGATGCTATATAATGTAAAACAATGCATAATTAGTATGAATGGATGTTATAAAGGAAAACACAACCAGACAATAAAAGGCATGAAATGATGCCATAAATGAAATGTATAATAGTGTATAAAAGCATGAAAGAATACCATAATGGAAATGGTATAAGGGTGTATATTAAGCACATTGGGATATTATCAATGAAAATAAAGGTTTAGGACTAAAGAGATAAATGTTTGAAGAAAAATATAGAGAAATATATGTATGCTAGGCATACAAAAATAATTAAGGTAATTGTTAATGCAATACAATTTAAATGAGGAGGATCGTAGAATCTTTAAGGAATAAACGATTTAGTACAAAATAAATAAAAGGACATACTTAAATATATACCAAAAAGGTTACTTTATAATATTATTATCTCACTAAATAAATATTTAACGTGTGTTGTTTCCACGCATAGGTAATAAATGGAGATAAATTGAGTAAGGAGTGCAGCAGTAGCAGTGGGTATCATGAGATAATGTTGACTCTCATCAGTAACGGTAGGACAATCTTATTTAAATTAAGAACTTAGTTGGCATGCAATTAAACTATGGTAAACATTTTGTAATGTAATTAAGTGAAGATTTTAGTATATTGCTTTCACAAAATATCCTATTTTGTGGTTATTCGAATTGAAACAAAATTTTACGAATTTTCAAATGACAAACATTATTTTTAAAGTGATGTGACATCCATATCTCGTGTACAGAAAGGTATACGGGAAATGGGTGTTACACACAATGCTAGGCCTGAAACTTGGGGGTGGACGAAGCAAGTCCTGTGCTTCTTCTCATGTGAATCTTAACTCCAATGCATCTACACTATGCATCAGTAACCTTTTACTTTTGGATCCAATATTTCTGGACCTCTTCTTTTCTCCGTTCACTACAAATTGCTGCACTGAATTCCCATGTTCCCCATGTCCATGGTTCTCATCTCTACCCAGACTAACATTTCCATCAGGTACACCCCAATGTTCAGACAGAGCGTTTACATGTAGATCCTTGCCTTCTTTTGGGATCTGAGAGTAAGTGCTCACTGGAGACAAATTCTCAATAAGTTTGAAAATCTTCAAGAATGATTCAGAAAAGTCCGCACGAAGTTTGACCTGTGTATCAGAGTTTGTCGCCTTTCGGAACCCCATAATTAGATTACCTCCAGGATCTATTCGACTAAATATAACTGCAATGAAAGAGAATTTTTACTAGTAAACAAGAGAAAGAAAACTTTAGGTCTGCCATACAAGTTGACTTCCCACTAGTATGATAAAGCTATGAGACTATCATGGAAAGTGGATCTGTTAAGGCACAAAATATCTCAAAAATTAATCAAGTGTTACAGAAGGAAGCAAACAAATAAAGTGGCACAAACCACCCAAAACCATGAAGCGCACAAAAATTGCAAAGCAAAAATAAAAAATAAAAAATGAAAACAAGTATTATCTGCCCTTCCCAATTCTAACAGGAGAATTTCAAACAACCCAACTGGAAAATTTTAGCATTTTGTTCCATTTCTCATCATGAATAACAATTAAAAAAATGAAAATAGATGGAGAGTAATGTTATAACTTTCACAGCTATGATGTATAATGAGAAAGATATAGTACTGAAAAAGACAGAAGGGACATCCAAACTATTAGTTGAAATTGAGGAAACTAACCCTTGACACGGCATAAAAACAACATTCAGACACCTACATGAGAATACAGAGTCAGAGGACCTTAAAGAGAAATGGGGGAAATGGAGGGGTCTTATCCCTTTAAGAATCAAAAAGGGAAAATTCCTAGATATATCCTCTGCAAGTGAGATCCTTAAAAAAAATTATCTTTCAACATTTTTGGACAAATGCTCGAAATAGAAGCGCATGAAGTGATCACTCTTAACATTTGAACCATCCCTCCTTTTGTTCTCATATCTTTTCTCTAGAGGCACTTTTCATCAAACAATGATCCATGGCTTCCTAAGTTTTTATACTTGGAAAAGTTGTTTCATTACTCACAGATTTATTACCACCAGAAAAACACTGAGGGTTTATCACAGTAAAACTATCAATTCAAAATCAAATATGATATAATAGCATAGATTTCAAGCAAGGTTATACGTCATGATCTTAGCAGTGGAGGAACAGAGTATACCAGTATCGCCTGCTCGGAGTTCCATGGACTATATACATGGCGTTACACCCTCCAAGACATACATCCTACTATTGTTATTTGGCCAAAATCTGAATTGAAATGTCCATTCTTTCCCATTTACATCTTGAATCCTTAGAGGAAGGCCTTCCGATTGTGAAATTGCAGGAAAATAGGTCTGCATTCATTTCTAGTTCATACAAATGCAATGCCAGGAAAATATTGGAGAAGGGGTAGATAGGGGAACTTTGTTGCGGAGGGTGAGGTGTGGGACAAGGAAAAGGCATGGAAGTGAATATACTGAAAAACTTACTTCAGCACATGCTTTTGGCAGCACTAATCGACCAATTCGACCAGAATCGCTGGCACTGAGAACCTTCTCAAATAGTGGCACAATGGCAGATTTCAAACTTTAAATTCGCAACTTAAGGAGAACAGAAAATTTGAATCAACACAGTAAACAAAAACTAAACATATAAATCATTCTAGGAAAACAAAATTTGGAAATGAAAGCTGACAATCACGGATACTCTCCAATCCTTCAGAAATTTCATCACCATGTGTCTACATCACAGAAGGGCAAATTACAGTAGGAAGCAACAAGAACACAACCAATCAAATGGTCTGAAGACCAAATTACTTAATGTGCCATTTCAACTGTTAAAATATTGGTTCCTAGATCCTACTTTCCATGGAAATTCATGTGGCAAAAAGAAAGGTGTGTGTGTGTGTGTGTGTGTGTGGTGGTGATGGTGAGGCCTAGCAAAGAACTACATTGGTGTAAAGAAGCATCAACTTTTCCCATGATCTCAAACCAGGGTTAGCATATATGTGGACAGTGGACTGAAAAGAAAGATCACGTTAAACACCAAAGAAGGAATCAGGTGAGAAGTGACAGAAAAAAGTACCTGAATTCTTTTAACTGAATGAAGTTGGGAGCTCTTTGGACAGCTGATACACCCAACACCACCATAATATAGGAAATCAAGCAGATATTTGGAGGCTATGCAACCACAGTGAAGATACTGCCATATCACATTCAATTACTTATAATTATAAAAATTGATCGTTGTTTGAACTTTAATAGGATCAGCAAGATTATCAGCTTACATTGCCGCATAAACGGCACTCCCTCCAGCCAGACTCTTCCAAGTGGAATATGTTACAATAGACGCCATCCTCGTAGGCAGAGCTTAACCACAGAAATCAGCAGGCCGAAAAAAATAAGAGGAAGCATTGAAAATTAAAAGAATGATTCAGCAAATACATGAATAAACAGCACTACCACCTTAAAAGTTAAATATATATAACATTTTCTGGTGGAGGTAGAATATCATGCACCAAATGCATACCCTCTGAGAGGACGGCATTTCCATGCAACTCCGGATCTATTTTGGCAGATCAGCACTTAATTTAGGTCAATTGATGGTGCGTGTTCTACAACTTCTAGCAATAATGACTCGAAATTTAGAAGATCGCTAATGAAATGTAGTTTTGAATAGTTAAATGACATACACGTTCCTGAACACCATATTAAGCGCAAATTTTCGTAGGTACTTATAGGATCTATAAAGTTAATTCTTCTTCGATAAATTTCTGAAAGAAAGATGAAAGTCTAAATAGAATTATTGTGGGCTGGAAAAGCAAAAAACGAGAAACGTAAAGCAATAAGGGTGATAAAATAAATCCACGTAGTAGTAGTAGCAAAGAAAGCGTTAAATTTGAAACCCAAAACCCAAAATATCGGGTTGATAAAAATATGAATGAGGATTGGAGTACCCGCAAGGGTAGCAGAGATGAGCAAAGCCACCAGATTGCAGAGGCCAACCCTTATTCCATTGATGGGTGATAGCAGCTCCACAAGAGGAATTCATGCAAATCATGGACTCCATTCAACAACAAGCTGTTCAAATCAAAATCAAGATGAAGTTCAAAATCAAATGTCATCCATGAGTCCAATTATAATCTCATCAATGGAACATCCCCATGCACAACATATAATCAAAATTTCCAAACAACACTATCGATAAAAAGCGACTAACCTCGTTCAACTCACAACAAATCAGTCATTCGCAGAAGCAACCCACTTCACTTGGAATGAAGAAGAAGAAGAAGAAGAAGGCAGTCAACCGGGAGGAAGAAGTGGAGGAGTGAACAAAACAAAGAGAAGAGGAGAGTAACGGCGGTGGTAGATGTAATTATGCTTTGTTATTGTTATAGTTACTATTACAAGAACTACACATTAATTTAAAATCGAAAAAAAAAATCAAAGAGAACGTGCTTTGTTTACGTTTTGCAAGAGAGAGAGAGAGAGAGAGAGTACATGCACGAGCAGCGTCAGAGCACGACACACCACACCGCTTCAAGTTAAAGCCCCCTCCAGTCTTAAGTCTCAACTCGCTCGGAGTCCTTTAACTCTTAACTCAACCCAAAGCCGCTCTGATACGGTGACTCGGCAAATTCTGTGACCTTGATCTGTACTCTACAGGTCTCAATTTGGGTTGGGCCTCTGGGCTTGTTTTATTTTATCTGGATCTTCTCTTCCAAGCTTTTCAAAGATGAATATATGCAATATGTACTGCACATGACTAATCCTGGATTACAATCTTGCTTATTTATAATTATGTTTAATTTGTGTTGTATTTTCGTCAAACGTTTTTCGCGTGTTATCTTTGTACTCTAATTTTTAAAGTTTTCAGAGGAGTTCTCCTATATGTAGGATCCAAGAGGAGTATATTTGAAGAAATAACTTCAAACATTTTACATTCTTTAAAAAGTCATGATAACTTGAAATAATTTTTAAAAAATTCATGTGATCTTTTGTAATAAAATTTATTGTCAACCTATAAATAGTCATAATGACTTTACGTTTAACGAAAAACTTCAAGAATCATTATAAAACCTCTTGATTGAGATCAGAGAAATAATAGAAACAAATCACCCTCATTCATCTCCTTTTTACCTTCTCATGGGGATAGAGTAATTGACATGACCAACAACCATTTCATCTTCAATTAAACTGTTCATTCAAGTTATAAGAGGTAAACCATCCATACTAATCACAACTCATTTATTTTTATCAACAATTTGTATGATTAAGAGAGGTACTACATTATAAAGTTCATAAAATAAAAATTGGGAGTATTGAGTCAGCTTGCTCATTACATGTGGAAAGTAGGATGCTATATACTAACTATTTAATGAAGCACAACCTTAAAAGGAAAAAATATATATTAATGCAGCAAAGCGTCCATTAGTCCTCGACAGATAAATCCTTGTTTATTAGGTTTGATTTTGGTTAAGCAAGCATATATAAAAATGATTTTGGCTTTAACTTGTGATTGTCTTAATCTTTGATTCACACACGATCATAGACCACTCCTAATTTGTTTTTGATATTGGTATTATATGTGCATTGGCAGTTGGCACTAATTAACCCCATCAACAAGAAATTAAACCATAATTGTCTGTTATGTCATGTGTACAAGCCGATGATTACTTTGCATGGGTGGTCAAAGCCAAGAAATGCATGAATGAATGAGATATTTTTTGCATATACAAAGACTCCAACCTGAGACATTGTTTAAGCGATATCAAGTTGCTTACCACTTAAACCAACCTCGTTGGTGAGTTTCCTTTTTATTTTGAAGCATGAATGAATGAGATATTTCAATCCTACGATCAGGGTCCTTTAATGTAATACCCCAAACATCGCGTCAGTGACTAAAATGTAAGGAGTTAAAATTTGGTGGTTTAATTTGAATAAATTAAAAAGTTCAAGGACTAATTCTAGAAATTTGTGTAAAGGACTTATTATCAAATATGAAATATTGGAAAGACATTAAGGTCTTTTTAAGGAAATGAATTTAATATTTCTTTTTAAAAGATATTAAACATGAGGGGAAAAGGTGAGAGGGAGAAAAGAATTATCTGAACCCTTTTTGGTTATCTTCTTGTTCTTCTTCCTCTTTGTCGTGAACACCATTTCAAAGGTAAGTGAATTTAAGTTGACAATTTCTTGTATTTTTGGTTTGGTTTTTTGTCTTTGGGTGATATAAAAGCTTAAGGAAAGCTTAAAGATGAATATAACTAAGTGATTAAGGAATTAAGAGTGATTTAGTAAAATGGTTGTTCAAGTGAATAGATGAAATTTTGTAGGTAATTGGATTTTAAAAGCATATTTGACCTGTCAATAGTGAATAAGAAATTTGAAGCCTTAGAAGTGATTGAAAACATGTTTGAATATTTGGTGTGATTTTTAGTTTTAAGTGTTCTATGGAGAAAGTTGGAAGTTATAACAGAATTAATGAATAAAGTTAGTTGGGATAAATGGTTTTAAGTTTGGTGACATGATTGGAGATAAGAGTAAGAGATTTAGGTAAAAATTGAGAAAAATTCAAAGTGAAATAAGAAAAATATGATTAAGGGTATTGGTACTGGAGGAACAGTACCGATACTATAGGGTTAAATTGAAGGATATAATATGAATCGGATGACCAATATCGATACCAATTGAAGAAGTATCGTTACTGATGTAGAGGTATCGATACCAAGAGGAAGGTATCGATACCGTAATAAAAAATGGAATTCCAAAATGTTAAAATGGTATCGATACCAAAGTAGGTATCGGTACCATAGAAGAGAAGTATCAGTACTGTAGTAGGGGTATCGATACTATTCAGCCTGAAATGTTGGATTAGGTGCGTAATTTCGTTTATGTAAGTGAAAATTAGTTTTTTGTTAGTAGAAAATTGGTATTCATCTTAGACATATTGATGTGTAGATTTGAAACGAAAGCGTACTGATCAAAGCGATATAGCAAGAGACTGAAAGAAACTTAAAAGGATTTCATTTAAGACTTACGTGAAGCAAAGGTGAGTGCAAGTTATTTATTTTATGATAGATATGAGGACGACTTGCGATAAGCCAACCTCGAAGTTTTCGATCGAAAACAATTTATTTATTTTATGCAATATTTATATGTTTTACATAAATTATACTTATGAATGCATTGATATGATGTTTACTAGCATGTGAAAATGAGATATGTGAATATAGTTTATATGGAAATGTGCGAAGTGAAAATGTTCTATGTGAAAGTACCTTATGTGAACGTGCTCTATTGAAATAAAACACACTATGAATAATGAATTAATAAATAATTATATGGTTAAAGACCAAGGTATATGTATGAGAATTAGAGGTATAGTTGGCATGCCAAGAGTCGAGGGTTCTAAGCGGTCCTTCGGGACAAATCTATGTGGTCATTCGAGACAATTCTATGTGGTCCTTCAGGACAAATTCGACGCGGTCCTTCGGGACAAATTTTAAGTGGCACTTTCGTGCAATTTATATGAGTAGTGGTGACTGCATTAGTGCACAACCTCAATGTACTCAAATACCTAGAGTTATCAGTAATAAGCTTTGGGCTATTAAAACAAAGTGATATAAACTGAATAGTGTGTAAAAATATATCTTATTTTCATGAAATGTAAATTGATTTCCGTATGAAATATTTTCTATGAGATGAATAAGAAATTATTTTACACTGTTTGTTATACTCGTATTTGCCTCACTAAGTCAACGACTTAGTGTGTGATTGTTTCACACATAGGTTCAGAGAGATCAGGAGATTAAGGCTAGGAATGGACAACATACATGGGAATAAGATCATATCAGAACAATTTAAACTGTAGGTTTTCTTGTTATTTTGTAAATTATTGGCATGTATCAAAATGTTTAAATTGAAATGCTCTGATCCATTTTGTAAACATATTATTTTATGTTTATGTAAATTATTAAGTATTTACTTTAAATATGAGTTTGAATTTTCAATAGTAAATTTGATTTAAAAGTTTCACCACTTGAATAATAATAGAAGTTGAAAATTTTCAACAAGTTTTTATCAAGTCAAGGTTTTAAAAAAGTCAATATGACACCTCGGATTTGTATTTGGGTCCGCTACGGGTTGAGGGTGTTACATTTATTGGTATCAGAGTAAAGATTTATCTGATTTTAAGTTCGAAATGAAGCAGTTTTTGGTTTTAAAAAGTGTACATGCCAAGTAAAAGTTAAAAATCTCTAATATGATAAGGTAATTAGTATGTTGTCCTTACTAATAGAATAGTGATCTTATCTTAATAGATGTTGGATTTTGAGGGCTCCCGAAGTGAAGTGAGAGATAAACATTAGGGAAGTAGTAATTTACCTACCCCGTTAGGCATGATGAAGAGAAGGCACATCAGGGAGTGCCTGTACAAGATAAATGGATCTTTTTCAAGACGTTGGACGTGATTTTGATGCGTTTCCAACTGTCTACTCCCTCTGCTCCTATAATGAATGCGGAAAATGAACTTAAGAGTTTAGGAGCGTCAGAATTTAGAGGAAAAGCTGAGGAAGTTCCCGTTGCTAAGGATCCTTGGGTAAATGATGTGAAGATAATGCTAGATGGTATCCATTACTCTGAAATGGAGAAGCTGGATAGAGTAATCTCATTGCTACGAGGACAAGCAAAGATATGGTGAACTAACGTAACGATGAGAGCTACTAGGGACCAGGTGACATGGTCATTCTTTCTGGAAGAGTTCAATAATAAGTATATCGGTGATCAATTCATTAGGCAGATGAAACAAGAATTTATGAGTTTGAAACAAGGGAATCATGCCGTGTATGTGTAAGAGTGTGACTTCAAAAAATTGAGTAGATTTGCAGCTGAATTGGTTCCGAGAAAAAAAGATTCATGTGATTGGTACCAATTGGAACAAGGGAGCAGGTGCCTCGTCGAGTGCATCACAATTAAAGAAAAGTCAAGGTTCAGGTTTTTGACCTCATTCTAGATCTGAACCAGCTGCATCCTCAGGTAGTGGATCAAATCCGATGAAAGCTAAAAAGACTCAATTAGTTGAATCAAGAGCGGGAAAGTAAACTCAATGTCAACATTGTGGAAAACATCATAGTGGTATATATCGAATAGTCTTCGGAGCATGTTTCAGATGTGGGGAGACAAGGCATTTTATCCAAGATTGCCCATTGATGACTTGAGAGCCTGCACAGTCTGAGAGATCTGCTGCTGTACCTCAGAGAGGTAAAGGATGAGGTCAATGAAGGAATCAGTCTGAGTCAGCCACTCAACTTGAAATACGCTCAACTGCTCGGGTCTACAACATTAAAACTAATGAATATCGTGATGATCTGGAAATCATTGCTGGAACT